AATTGTATCCATATACACATTTGTAGTTACAGGATTTATCTTCCTTTATGCATTGACTTTTTAAATTTTTACTTCTTATCTCAAAATAAATTATTCCCCCCCCCCCCAAACCAAGACTAAGTTCACTGATTTATAAAAAAGAATTCCTTTCCTCTGGTACTAACCTGGTTCTCCACAATGGTTGAAACGGTTTTTTTATATTATCCTAATGGCTGACACAATACTTTTTATATTATTCCTGATGATCTGACATCCTCTTGGACACTTGGTCTCCTTGGTGATGCCTTAACTCTGATTTATTCTAGATATCCCACCGGGGGGTGAACCACCTTTGGTGACTGGTACAGTGGTCATAGTCGTAGACCTGATAGAACTTTATTTAAAGGCTCTGAGGAGGGGGTGGCTTCTTCCTTGTGGTGGAAAGAGCTGTGTTCTGTTTCCTCATGATTGTAATTAACACGTGGGAAATAAGAAAGACACCCTCTAAGCTGAAGATGACCAAAACTTGGCTGGTGGCTGGAGCTTCAAAATTTACATCCAGAAAAACTCAGTTTCTAAAGCTGAGCAGTCCTCCAGAGAGGCCTCCATGAAGCCCTGGGAAATAGTGGGCAAGAGAAATTTTGGATGGCAGGCATGCATGATGTGATTGGTTAACCAAGGAAACTTCCACACTGACAACACAAGAATTCTACTCCTGCCCAGCTGAATTCTACATGTATTAGCTATCAGTGATTTCTGTTTTCCAAACTCTCTGTTCCCAAGTGGTAGTTTCCCTCAGACCCGTGTTTCCTGTTTTTCTGTCATTCTATACTGTGGGGACACAGATAACTTCATTATTATTATTATTTATTTTAGGCTGTGGTGAGTCTTAGTTGTGACACATGGGATCTTCAATCTTTGTTGTGGTGTACAGGCTCTTTAGTTGTGGCATGGGGGGATCTAGTTCCCTGACCAGGAATCGAACCCAGACTCCCTCCATCAGAAGCACAGAGTCTTAGTCACTGGACCCCCAGGGAAGTCCTGATAATTTGTTTTTAAGCAGCTGAGCCTCGGCCTGTTGGATATGATGTTGTCCCTGCATGTGATTACAGGGTGAGGCTTTGAGGTGGGCTCCCTTGCTGCTCAAATAGCCAGAGAGATAAGCAATTCTTGCTTTTCTCCTCTACAGGTCAACAAACTAAAATATTCATCATTCTAGAATCTCTTGCAGCTAAAGGAGAAACCATATGACTCAGTTTTGGCCATTGAGATGTAAACACAATGAGCTAGTGTAAACACTAGCTAGTGTAAACACTCCTGAGCTAGGAGTCTGGAAAAGGTTTTAAAATTTCAGAATCAGTCTTACGATCCTTCAACCTTTTGCCCTTTTCATATTCCTGGCTTAAATGTGGGTACAATAAGCGGCATTTTAGAAAAGAAAAGGCAAATGTATTGATGAACACCACATATGAAGAATCGGAGAGCAGCCTTAACCTTGATGGCACTTAAAACATTCATTGCCTTTCTACAACTTTCTTGTTAATGAATTAAACAAACACCTACAAGGAAAACTGTAGTTGTTTGTTTTTTTTTTCTTTTCCTCAGCTCTTTTCCTTTTATGGTTGAGACATATTAATGACTTTCTCCTAAATACCCTAAAATCGGCAAGAATGGCAACAGTCAATAGTTTTAACCCAGAGCTGTAGCTATTCCAAGAGATAAAGTACATGATGAAAATTCAGAATAAGAAAGAAGTTTTATTAAATCTTGATTTCCCAATGCCTAGCACAGTGCCTGCCACTTAGCAAGCAATTAAAACATTTGTTGATTGATCCTATTGATTGTATTTCTCAGAAAACTTTTTAAATAAAGTAACACTTGAAGCATGCATCATGATTTATGGAAAGTTCAGTAACAAATTTAAAGCATAACAATATTTATTGTATAATTGACATTCATTGAATTTTAATGTAATCTAAGTGCAATGCTAAATTCTTTGTTATCTTTTTAGTGAATTTTCACAGCAGTCTTATAACCAAAGTATTATTATTGGAGAATTTCAGAAATATTTAAATAATTAGCCAAGGTCACACAGCCAGGTGGTACAGGAGCCAGGATTCAAAGCCAAGTTTATCTCCCTCCAAATCTATGCTCTTAACTGCTGTGTATTAATAAAATATTTTAAATGTGTTCTCCTAAAAGAAACATATCCTTTGATCCCTAAAAACCTTTTTTGGCAGAACAGCAAGTACACAGAAAATGATAGTCTGTGTTAATGGTTATACATTATTAATCAATTACCACTTACTGGAGAATTTACTGTTTAATTCCTGTTTGTTGACAAATCAGTTGAATTTTTCATATGCACACACTGGAGTTAGCTATATAAAGTGATTCACTTGGAATGTTTCATGTTTGCTCCAGGTTGCTATTGGGAACCTAGGTTATTTGTGGCATTTTTGCTTGAAAATCCTGGAGTCATTAAATTCTGAGTCCACAACCTGCATAGTAGGATATTGATAAGAATAAGGATGCAGGCAGCAATTCAGTAGGTACTTGAATGGCAAAAAATATAGTGCAAGTTTTCCACACCCTTCAGACTGCAGGTTTATATGATAATAAATAACAGTTATCACCAGGACAGAGGAAAAAAAGGCCCTGAAATCCAATAGCTCAGTGAGAAATCTGCTAATACAGGTGGTCAAGCTTGTTCCATTTCTTTGTCAAAGGGAGGCTATTTATTTGCTTCTGGGTAGTTCGATTACAGAGTCATTTACTGCTGAAAGTTTTCCAGTAGGCAGATGTGGCCCTATAGCTCTAGGCTTTAGATTCAAAATCAGTGAGGAAAAAGAGAATGAGAACAGCATAATTGATACGGCAGAGGTCTTCAAGCAACTCCAGAAATGAAATAAGTGCCTCTAAGCACCCCCGTTGGAATCTCCTTACTGTGGACAGGGGGCACGGGCAAGGGTCAAGATGCTGAGTATAATTAATCACTTTCAGAAGCTCTTTAAAATATTTTCCCTTTGACAGTTTCCTGTCTAGATGAGATGTCAGTGATTGGTGTGTGTATATAAAAGAGAGAGTCCTTGTATACCAAAATGCTCAGAAACAAAAGGAAAATATTCACAGTGAATTCTCAGTGGTTATAAAATCAAAGACAACTTTCTTTTCCTCTTGTGCAAGACACAAGTGGTTTTTATCCAACAAATAACTCTCTTTCTGAGAGACATTTGAACAGTGGAGATTATACAGACTGTGATCGTTATTTCTAAACTTCCACAATCTAGCAATTTGCAAACTTTGGCAGTGTATCCAGAGAACAGATCAAAGATACGCCAATAACAAGGGTTTTACTTAAGCATCTGTTTCATCATTTTCTTGTCAATAGGTTCTGCCTTTCAGTCGAAATTCAATTTCTCTTTTGCATGTACCTAATAACTATATTTTATATCACATGTTTGCTGGGTATAAGAAGCTACTACTCAAGTTGCCAAGAAACTTGATTCTTTTGTCAGGCAACCTTTAAACCAAGACATGTATGTAATTCCCTTATTAATTACAAAGATTAACTTCATCAATCTTAGTTCATGACCAAATTCAAAACTTCCAGTCACAGTCATGATGAGAAATGCATTACACAGCTGAAAGGTTTCAAATTCTAATTTATCCCACCTTGAAAAACAATTAATGTGCCATTAAGGGCAACAAGTCCAGCAAAGTAATCACTATGGGCAGTGACCCGCAGTGAGAGGTTAACAGATACGGGAGGTGTCGGCTCGCGAGAAGATGAAGAAAACCAGATAGCCCACCTCTAGTTATCAGGTGTTGAAACTGGAAAATGTCATCAAATAATTTTAGCAATGATAATAAAATTCTAATGACCAAAAAACTGACAACTTAGTGTAAATTCAGCTCTCTGTGGGAAAAGTTGAGAGTAAGTATTAATATATACATAAATATGACATAAATGCACTAGGTCAGTATTTCAAGACCTATTGACTTTCCACCTAACTTTTGAGAAGCCAAAGATCTACACATTCACTGACAGGAATCAGAAAACTAAAGTGACATATGAGTAACTCCAAAGTGACCATTATTTTAAAACAGATATGTACCGAGCATTCCTACGTTATAACTGATATTTAAAGCATTTATATTTGGAAATAATCATAGATTTACAGGAAGATAGTATAGAGAGATCCCCTGAGGCCTCCACTCAGTTCCCCCAAAGGTTATGTGTTAATTTTAGCATAATATCAACACCAGGAAGTCGCCATTGAGTGAACAATATGTGTGTGTAGTTCTAAGTCATTTGATATGTGTAGATTCTTGTGATTACCACTGCAATATCAGGCTAAGAAATTATTATAAATGATCTTATTTATTTTCTTGAGTATAAAAATGCATTATAATTTCAGGTAGAAAGAAAGTTCCATACTACTTATTTTACAAAACAATAACAGTGTACTGAAAATTATTAATATATAGGAACCTGTTACCTAGGAAAACTCTATTTATAAAGGTCAAAGTGAAATCCTGCTAATACAGACAATACACACTTGGATTAAACTCATTTCCCTGCACAGATCAGACCATCCCCTCATTCAGGGATCCTCTCTCTGCAGCATTACAATGAGCAATTTTTCAACACATAGTTTATCAAAGACATCTTACTGAGAACTGTACTCTTCCAAAACTGTTCATAGGAGAGAACCCCAGATTACACATGCGTGCACACACACCTCTCCTATCTGGGGTAAAACAGAGCATTTCACAAGTGCCCTTGAATTGCCAATAAGGTAATCGTAATAAAAGAGAACATTAATAAATATACACAAACAGTCAATGAAATAAACCAGCCAGATTCTTCCAAGCCAAGTCTATGACGAGGTTTCTTATTCCCCCCTAACAAACATAATTCAAATGGTCACAGACTCCAATTTCGTCTCATAGGAATGGAAAAACATACAATCACAAAAGAAAAAAATAATAAAGCAGAACTGAAACACTGTTCTTACCTTGGCCATCTGTGCCTGCACGCCATTTGCCTTGAGAGACGCTACTGCTTTCTGTGCGGCTGCTGGGCTGTCGAAATCTACAAAACCATACCCTGTGAAAACACAAAGTCCCAGGTGAGCACATGCAAGCAGCTCTGTGTCACTGATAGAATGGGTGTTCGTGGTCAGACTCGCACTCATGACCCTGGTTGAACCACAGACCTCAATCTATGGCCCTTAACATGTCAGGAAAGAGACCACAATATTAAACATAAAACAGCAACGTGCTTATTTTCTAGAGGTTGCTCTGGAGATTGGCTATGCAATCAGCAAGCTGATTTAGATTAATTTGGTGAATGAGGTAACATTATTTAATCATTTCTTTCTTCAATGACTTTGTTGCAAGAATTAGGAACACAAAATGCTGAAAAATGTAGAAAAGTTTATCTCAAAAGGTAATTTTCTAACCCTCAAAAAACTTGATGGTATTAAAAGCAGTGCTAGAACCTGCAGGAAGTTAGTACCGGCAAACTTAACAGTTTCTGGCATTCAAGCAGTCATTCAATAAACGCATGTTGAATGAATGACTGAAGATGATGAGTGAGTTCAGGGAGATTTGAGCCTACTTCCAGTTGATTTCCAAGCCCATGTTAATTCATTATAGGACGGGTCTCTCTCAAAGATAACATCCTAAATAAACAATTTTGACTGTTAAGGAACTTATGATAAATAGATAAATATTCAAATGTCTTTTAAAAATAAGAAACTCATTTGCTATTTTTTAAAGCTTAAGTACAATCTGAAAAGAGCATGAAAGTTGCCTATGAAAGGGAAAAAGTCATGTCTGACTCTTTGCAACCCCATGGACTGTGGCTCACCAGGCTCCTCTGTCCATGGAACTCTCCAGGCAAGAACATTGGAGTGGGTAGCCGTTTCCTTCTCCAGGGCATCATCCCAACCCAGGGATCAAACCAGGTCTTCTGTATTACAGGCAGATTCTTTACCATCTGAGCACCAGGGAAGTCCCCAAAGTTGCCTATATTGTACTTCGTGCGCCTGTGTGTGTGTGTGTGTGTATAGTGAAGTGAAAGAAGTAGCCAGTAAACGTATTAAACGAAAAGGGGGGTTCCTACATGCCCATGAAATATAGCTGTATTAGTCAGGGCTTCACCTGAGAGTAATTTCAGCTGCCAAAAATATTTCAGACTAGAAATGATCAAGAACGTGTGTAGGGCACTCAAAGCCCACCCCACACGCATCCTGCTCCCCTTCCCCGCTGCCAGCTCTGCATCCCGTTGCTTGTCTCATGTAGAAGTTTTGAGGAGCACTGCTAAGGCAAACCTACTCACCGCGAACTGTGACCCTCTTCTCTGAATTAACTAAAGAGTGGATAGGAATTCAATTACCAAGTTGTTTCTTGTAATTAACTTTTTAATTTTCTCCCCCTGAATCTTATCTTCTTTTTCTCCCTCCCAGCATGTTAACCGAAAATGAACTTGTTACTCATCAGTGTACCATCCAGCGCTCTTGAAAAGCTGGGAAGTTTGTGTTTCAAATCCACAAGGAAGCCTGCTCTGTCAGTACTACTAATTCCTCTCCTCCCACAAAATTCAAACTATGTGAGTAATATGAGGATTACCACCCACTGAGATGAGTCAAATGAGGGGAAAAGAGGAAGAAGAGCAAAATAAGTCTAGAAGTAGTGCTAGGAGGAGCATATGATAAAATAAGATATAGACTTTATCTATTATGGGCCAACAACTGCCCTGGGTGGGTGACGTGTTGGCACCCGATGAAATGATAATAATACAGGTATAATACCATTGTCCTCATGCCTGTTTATGTACTCACATAGAGAAACCAAAGTGTAAGCCAGGTGACAAGACTGACCCCGCAAATCTCAAGTTGCTTAATTGGTAGAGCAGGATTTGAAGCCAAATCTGCACAGGCCTTTCCAAATATACTGTACAGTGAATCACTTTATAATATTACTTTGCAACCTATTTCTAGAAGCCCCTGAAGCCCACCAGAGGGAGGTCACAATTCTTCAAAATCCCTTAGACGTTGAGGCTAGCACATGAAATATAACAATTCCATAAAAAAATTCAACCCAGCTCATTCAGCCAGCACACTTATTCAGGGGGTGATTGAGTTCTCAGCACAATGGGCTACATGAGGTTTGATAAGTCACCTTTTCCACCTCACGCTTTAGTCCATCTTCCTCATTCATCCACAGGCTGCTTTGTCATTCAATAATGAAATTCTACATCAGGCATTTTGCCAGGTACATAGTATAGATTAGTGGGGAAATAAATAGTTCCAGTTTGCATCCTTACTCAGCTTATAGTTGAGTTGGGAGATGAACATAAAATGAATAACCACAAAAATGAATCTATAATAACAAATTGGTTTGCCTTCCTTGAAAGAAAATGAGAGCATGTACCACAGACTCTGATGATTGACTGTTACTAAAGGTTTTAAGAAAGCAGTGGCATGAGATGACCTGCATTTTTATAATACCACTCTCACTGGCTTGTCCTGAAGATGGGACTGGTTGTAGGGGAGGTGGGCGATAGGAGTGGGATCAGGGAGATGACCTAGGGGCTATTACAGTAATCTGGACAAACAGCAACTGGCTGTGAAACAGAAAGGATGAAATGGATGGTTTGACTTACATGTTGGAGGCAGAATTAAGAGGACCCAGTGATGGATGTACTGGGTTGGGAATAAAGGAAACATAACAGACAAAGATTACTACTCTTTCTTCAGCATAAGCCAATAGGTAGGTGGAGATGTGATTTACAGAAATCGGGAGCCTGGAGGAGGAACCAACAGGGGAGAGGGGAAATTAAAATATCAGTTTGAGACATGGGGAGCCAGAAATGCCTGCGAGACATCTAAGGAAAAACGTCAAGTAGTAGCTGGTTATATTAGGCTGGTGCTCAGAAAGGGGAGCAAGACTGGAAATAAAATCTAGGAGGTCAACAGCAGGAAGGTACGATTTACAGAAATGGAAAAAGACAAAAGTGCCTGGTGTAAGCAGAAACAAAGAGCACAGGTTTGGAGCTAAAACTTCACCACTGGAGTGTTAGTGAGATAAGGAAATGAGATCGCAAAGGAGGCTGGAGGAGAACCCGATGGAAAGAAAGAAGTGCAAAGGGAAGAAGATGTCTCAAAGCCAAAGAGACAGAGACCACTGGTGTCCAATGCCACTGTGAGGGCAAGATGGGCGCTTGAGACGCCCAGTGTTTTAGGAATGTGAACTTGTCTTTTTTAACCATGGCTGATTTACGGTATCGTGTTAGTTTCAGGCGGACAGCTTCAGATTCTTTTTCATTATAGGTTGTTACAACATTGAATATAGTTCACTGCGCTGTACGGTAGGTCTTTGTAGCTTATTGTATGTACAGTAGTAGATCATGTATTTTTACCATGCTCAGCTACAGGCCAGGGATGGGACCGAAGGATGCTTGAGTAGTTGAAGAGCAAGAGTGAGATGGACAAGTAGGGAGTGTTTACAGTCTTGTCTGATATTCTGTTGCTGGGAAGGAGAATTAGGAGCCAGGTTTAGCCTGAGGGGTATGTGAAGCTAAGGAGCTGTTTATGTTTGTTGCTTGTAAGATGGGAGATGCTATGGTCTATGGTTTCCAACTTGAGCTAGATGCTAGACGCACTTACTTGGGAGTGTAAAAAAACAACCAATGCTCATTTTTCACCTCTGGAAAAATGAAATAAGTATCTCTGGGAATGTGGCCCAGTTGTCTGCACACACATGTGTGTATCTGTTCCCTGGCCTGGGTTACAGTATGACTGAGTATTCATTCAAAATATTAAACATGCATTTATTTGCTGCTCTGCTATGAGACAGATACTGTTCTCAGTACTTTTGAATGCTGATAAGAAGTTCAAGCAGAAGTCAAGAAATCAAAGCTTTAGGCAGAAAGACAGATAATTTTTAGGATAATGTTCCTGAGAAAGTGGAAGTGTTGAGGGGGTTCTAGAACATGACTGAAGTGCTGTCCTTTGCTAAAACAGGGACCTGGTTTTTTGCTCATAGTAACTGGAAGGAAGGAAAAAAAAAACATTTTCCAGGTGTTATTTCTTTGCATATCTTTGCTTCTGGGACACAGCCTGAGCTTAATAAACATTCGTCGGAATTAATTGAAACCATGTTTAAAAAGATGCTAAGTTACTCCATGGGACTTAAGTGGAGATCAACTAATAAAAGTGTCTTAATACACGTTGCCTCTACCGAACAATATAGATGCCAAGCAGCCATGATTCAGACTCAGCAACACTGCCACCTGGTGAGGCCCCAGGGATTTCACGACTCCTGGCCGCTGTAACAGCGTGGCTTCCTCCATTTCGTCCACCCCACACATCCCACAGGACAGCACAAAATCGTGATGCGGAGCTCCAGGGCTAAACTCCAGTCCAAACAGAAGAAATCCCTGTGAGGGCAGGAGACTCCCTGAGCCTCCTCTGAATCAGGGAGGTGACGGGTGAACTTTGACAAGAGTGTCTTTCCAAAGAGCCTTCATGCCAGCAAGGAGAGTGGCTCCTTGGTACAAAACATCTCTCCTGAAGACTCCTGGGAAACAAAGTTATAAAATAATCAATGTTTTAGGGGCTTTCCTGGTGGTTCAGTGGTTAAGACTTCATCTTCCAATGCATTGGGTGTAGGCTCAATTCCTAGTTACAGGGAGTTAAGATCCCTCATGCCTCGAGGCCAAAATAACCAAAACATAAAACAAAAGCAATATTATAACAAATTTAATAAAGACTTTAAAAATGGTCCACACCAAGAAAATCTTAAAAAAAAATTCACTAAGTTCAGTTTTTCATACGAACTTACTTTCACTAATTAAAATGAACGTGTACAGGTAAAACATCTCAAGTAATTCCCCCCCAAAACACCGAGATTCCTGAGAAAAACATTGCACTCTTGAGCTTTACGTGACAGCGTATACTACATCACAATCACAAAGAAACAGAATGAAATACGAAGCTGCCCCTAGAGAATAATGATGCATTTATGAAGGAATAAAGCAACTCCAATTTGGTTTCAATTTGCTCTCCTTAATGACGAATCATCAAGCCTGGGAACAGAAAC